GGAGAGTCTGGGTCCCTTACTGTCCTTTAGGGAAAGCTGGGACTCGCGGGTGAGTCACAGAATAAGGATACCTGGGGGACTCTTTCCCTCTCCCTAGGAGGAGGGGACATTCTGACACTGCCCCACTTCCCTCCTCTCCTTGCAGGAAGCGGCCCCAGCCCACAGATCCCCTCCTCGGGGGAGGCCTGCAGTCCCTGGTACCTGCTCTGAGCAGGGTCTCCCTTCCCCTTCTCCAGGAACAGGCGGGAGCCGGTGCACGCACGTGTCCTCCAGGAAGACCCTCCGAACGTCCGCGTCAGGGACCCGCACAACGTTGCTCCAGCTGACCCCCGCGGCAGCGGTCCAGGAGCGCAGGTCCTGGTTCAGGGCGATGAAGTCGGTGCCGTCGTATGCGAATTGACTGAACCCGCGCAGGAAGCTCCCGTTTCGAGCGCACGACGCAGCCGGTCGTTTCCTGCCAAGTGTGAGGCCCTGACCCCCGCCCCGAGAAGTTAGCCCCTCCCCCTCACGGGAAAAATGGAGCGTCCCCCGCCTGTCCTTCGGGATGGGTGCGTCCCCGGAGCCCCAGGCGCACGTGGCTCGGGCTCACCGTCCTCGCTCTGGTTGTAGTCGGGCGCGCAGCCTGTTCAGGTTCTCCCGGGAGGTGTGTTGGTTGAGCTTGATTATCCGCGTCTGCTCCTCCCAAAAACGTGTATCCTCTTGCTCCTTCCAAGGCTGCTCCATCCAAGGCACCCGCGCCTGCAGCCTGGGCCTCGGTGTGTTGCTGTCGAACCCCAAGATCTCCGAGTCGTCCACGTAGCCGACGACGGTGTACCGGTACCCCTCGCTGCCCGGTCCGTGCACGGCGGTGTGGAAGTGCGTCAGGCTGTGGGGGCCTGGGGGCGGGGAGGACGCGTGTCCTGGGTTCGCGGTGGGGCCTGCGGGGGCGGGGCGCCCGGGGGGACAGACAGGAGGGCAGCGGGGTGAGAAGAGGGGACGGGGAAGCGGTAGGGTCAGTGGCAGGGTGGGCGGATGCACGAGTCCGGAGTCTGTGTCCTGTTCGGGCACAGGAGCGTGGTCTTCCCCCGGATCCCGGGCCCCCGCCGGCCCGTCGCTCCTGTCCCGCAGAGGGCGTTCCCTCCCGACCCCGCACTCACCCTCCCAGGTCTGGGTCAGGGCCAGGGTCCCTGAGAGCAGCAGGAGGGTTCGGGGCGCCATGGGCCTGACTGGAGCGTCAGAGGACAATGAGATCCTGTTCTCGCGGCGGGCGCTGCATCCTGGACTGATCTGCAGCCGGTTTCCACACCCCACGTGAGTAAGGACGGGTGGCTGAAGCGTCACCGTATCCTAGCACCGGGATTGCGTCACTGCCTTGACTCCTCCTCAGGCACCCAGAACTTTCAGCTCCTCCCAGTAGGAGGGGCACGTCCCAGTACTTCTGAGGTTTTAAACAGGCAGTAAGAGAGCTCTAGGGTGCTCGTCTTATTTCTCTTCCTCAATCCGTTGAGCGTTTTCTGACCTCTCATCACATTCCACACTCTTGTCAGGCAGATGATAGGCTTCTAATAAAGTGACTCTTGCTCTCTGCACCTAATAACACTTTGAACTCGGTGTGATCACCTTCACCCTGCAGCTGTTACCCCCTTTACAGCATGAAGACAGTTGTGTTTCACTGACTGACCACCTGCTGATTCCTACGAGTGATTTACAGGAAACTCCTATTGATGCTGCTGCTTTAATTTGGTTACAGAGGGATCTTATCTGAAGGATGAACAGGGACATTACTGAGAGGGATATGCAGTAACTTCCAGGGTGGACATAATCGAGAGCTCTCACTGACTGGAAATGAAATCTGCCCAGCACGCTGAACTCACTGCTCTAACTCGGGCTTGTCACCTGGACGAAGATCCAAGCAAACAACTAGAACAGGAACAGAATCAGAGAAATGGACATCACATGGAGGGTTTTCAGTGGGGAAAGGGAAGGGGAAGAATAGGGGGGAAAAGGTACAAGGAAGAAGAAGCATAATTGATGGGCATAAAATAGATGGGGAGAGGTTAAGAATGGTATAGGAAACAGAGAATTCAAAGAACTGATATATACAATCCCATGGACATAAATTAAGAGGGGAGAATGCTGGAGGGTTGGGGAGTGCAGGGCAGAGGGGGGATAAAGGGGGGAAAACTGGGGAACTGTAATAGCATAATCAATAAATAAACTGTGAAACAAAACAAAAACAATCAAACAACAACAGCACAAAGGGTGAAGGGGTTGAAAACTGGGACAAAACTCCTGAAGGACGCTTTTGCAAAAGGTCACAGCAATTTTAATATGCTTACATTTTGACAGAGAAATTTCTCTTTTACAAATTTATCTTAAGGGAGATAATCATATATATATATTTTTTTTCTTATATTTTGGTTTTATAAAGGCAAAAAGATAGAATGTCTCTAAATGCTCCAGTAGAGCATTTAGAGAATCAGTAGAATGATGGTCACTGTGGACAGAGGATCTCAGGCAGTGACACCCTGGGACCTACAGAGAGGGTCAAGTGTAATCTTCAGGGCAAACCCAGGAGGCACTCGATATGGGATCCTTTTTGGGGAAAGGAGACTCAGAGAGGTTCATGAGTGGTGGAGCTGCAGTGAATGCAGGGTGTTTTCTCTCGGAGCCTTGATGACCCCCTTTCATTGGGTCATGGAACAGTTGTGGGCCTGTGGGGTTCTGCCTCAGGACAAGCCGTGGTGTGGGGTGTGTGGGCGCTTGACTTCCTCTGGATGAGATTTCACATCCTCAGTTAGGGGATGTTTAAACTGCGTTTATTAAAGCTGGGGACAGAGACACTGAGGAAGGACTTAGGGTAGAGGAAGTAACTGGAGAGAGGCTAGATGGGGGCTGCTGTGGTTTCTGAAAATGTTACACAAAAAGAGTGAGTCGAGGTGGGGCAGCTGTCAGCTCACTGGAGAGTGTGAGAAAAAGGGGGCCTTGAAGACAGGATGCGGGATCAGCCTGAGACAAGCTGCCACTGCCTGCTGCTCCTCTGGCTGATATTCTCAAGGGCACCTTAGAGCTCAGAAGGAGAGAAGGAAGTTAGTGTCTGACACAGGATGTGGGTGCGCTCTGGAGGGTGCTGCCCCAGGTCTCTGTCTGGAGGGTTTTTGTTTCTCCCCTGTGGTCAAGAACCTTCAGCCTTACGGGAGGTTTTCAGCAGAACATTCACCAGATTTCTGGCATGTTTTTAATACACTGATGCATCAGAATGAGAGTATAGGGGCGTTTGGGATTATCCTCTGGTTGGCTCCACTGTTTTACTTTTATCTTAGTTCTGTCTGGCTCTAATGGGGTTTCTTTGTTATTTGTCTCCCTGATTTCATCTGTCCTTGGGCTCATCTGCTGCAAATGGCATGAACTGGGTCTCTGTTGTTTATTTTCCCCAACCAGGGAGATTTAAGCTATGCATTCTCTGGTTAGGGAGGAGAGGTACAAATCATTTCTTCTCAAGTGTCCTTGCTTAGGGGACATAAGGTCTTTCAGTTCACCAGCTGGCTGTGTGTGGTTCAGACCATTTGGCTTTGCTTAATTTTCTTGCTTCAGTTTCCCCATCTCACTTCCCCAGGAATGTTCGTAACTCCCTACTATCTTGCCTCACTCTGACTCTGTACTCCTTGCAAGTGAACTTTTGCAATGTTCCAGAATGTTCTGTGATAGGAGGCTTGCTAGGCTCAGTTCAGGAGGACATCAACGGGACATCTCTGTGTCCTTGGCTATCCAAACTGGTCAAGTTCATCACCCAGCATGGGTTTCAAGGTCTTCACTGTCTCAGGATTAGTTAGAGTCTGGAGACAAAGTGGAGAGCAGGGATAGGACCCTGGCTCTGTGACTGTGGCACTGTGGTAGGGGAGATGGGTCATTAGCAGCAATCACACAGAGAAATGTAATTGTGACCGAGTGCTGTGAGGGAAAGTTCCTGATATCACGTAAGCAGATAACCAGGAGATCTATGGGTCCCCTTCCAGTGGTCTGAATATTATGTGAAAGACATAAAAGAATGGCATTTGAAATAGAACAAATATACACAATCATAGAACAGGAAAGATCACTTGGAAATTAAAAATATCATCATAGAAATGAATAATTCGGTAGGTGTACTGGAAGATTCAAGCTATATTTCTACTGAGTCGTACAAATGGAAAAGTGTGGGCAAGCTGGAGAAAAGACCTATTAGTCCATCAGTGAAGGGATCCCAACAAGTTAATAATGACAGTTTAAATAGTGTGGAAAAATCAAAATAAAAATTATGATGAGTAGGAAATGATTTAAAAATTTTCCAAGAATATTTCTCAAGGTTCACAGATGAAAATATACATTTTTGAATGGGCTAATGAAATTCTCACTACAGCAGATAAAACAGACCCACGCTGTAACACATCACAATGGAATTTCAGAAAGAGGGTGGGAAAGACAATGAAAACTGCAAGAGGCAGCAAATATGAGCCTGGAGACTAGAAAACATTGTTACAGTGCCTTCCAATTTCTAACGAAAAAAAAATTTCCAACACCGAGTTCTATATACACTCAAGATGTGAATAAGGGCTAGGATAGCCTACAGTTTCTGCATGTGTTTAGAGTTTTAATAGTGAACTTATCACATTCTCTTTGGAAAATACTACCAGGTACTTCCGGCAAGATGGCGGAATAGGTGGGACGCACTCGCACTTCCCTCACAAGCAAGATTAGAACAACAATAATTTATGGATAGAATAACACTCAGAACTGATAGAGGATTTATCTGAATGGAAGTCGGACAGCCAAGAAGTTCAAGTAGACCCGTACATCCAGACTGGTAGGAGACGACGCAGCTGGGCAGGCGCGGGGCTGGCGCGGGTTGGGCGGCGTGCGGAGGTCGGGGAAAATTTGGCGCTAAAATCGGTGTGACAGCCATCCGGGGTGCAAGAACACAGCGGTGATCCCTGAGTACAGAAGCTGTGTCTGGCGGTCCCAGTGAGGCAGCGATTGTGGACCAGGGCAGAGCTCGCAGCCCAGGATCCCAGAGAAGGGTCTGAACCCAGGAGAACGGAACTAACGCCATTGTTCCCTCCCGCCCCTGCCCCCACATATAACATCACAATCTAGTGCCCGGGAGCCCAGCCCTGGTGAACACCTCCAAGGCTCCGCCCCCCACCGTAACAAGAGCTGACCAGGCCAGGAGAGAAAAAAAGAGAGAGACAGGGAAAGCCATAAGACATGTTTCCAACAGAACAGATCAGTCCCCCAGGACTCATCCTTTTGAGCAACTAAGAAATAGCCAATCTATCAGATGCACAGTTCAAAACACTGGTTATCAGAAAGCTCACGGAACTGGTTGATTTTGGGCGCAATTTAGATGAAAGGATGCAGGTTACCATAAAAGAGATGCAGGAAGATACACGGAGGAGAGCCAATAGTGAAAGGAAGGAATCTGAGTCTCAAAACAATACAGTGGACCAGAAGGAAGATAGAATCAACCAAGTAGAAAAAGCATGATGAAATAAGAATTCAAAAAAACGAGGAAAAGCTTAAGAGCATCCAGGACACCTTTAAACGTTCCAACATCCGAATTATAGGGGTACCAGAATGGGAAGGGGAAAAGCAACAAATTGAGCACGCATTTGAACAAATAATAAAGGAGAACTTCCCCAATCTGGAAAAAGGGAACAGTCTTCCAAGAAATCCAAGAAGCTCAGAGAGCCCCAAAGAAGTTGGACCCAAGAAGAAACACACCAAGGCACATCATAATTACATTAGCCAAGGTAAAAACGAAGGAGAGAATCCTAGAAGCAGCAAGAGATAAGGGGACAGTCACCTACAAAGGAGTTCCCATCAGACTGTCAGCTGATTTCTCCAAAGAGAAAAGAAGGGGCAAGAAGGGGCTGGAAAGAAATATTCCAAGTCATGAAAGACAAGGACCTACATCCCAGATTGCTCTATCCAGCAAAGCTCTCATTTAGAATGGAAGGGCAGATAAAGTGCTTTTCAGATAAGGTCAAGTTAAAGGAGTTCATCATCACCAAGCCCTTATTTTATGAAATGCTAAAGGGACTTATCTAAGAAAAGAAGATAAAGAAAAGACATGTATAGTAAAAGGACAGCAAACTCACAATTATTAACAACCATACCTAAAGCAAAACCAAACGAAACTAAGTAAACAACTAGAATAGGAACAGAACCACAGAAATGGAGGGCACATGGAGGGCTAGCAGCAGGGTGTGGGAGGAG